CAGCTCTGCCCCTCGAAACACTGGTGGCCTCCTGGCCATGCGGGGTGGCAGTGTGTGACACTGAGAAAGGGTTGGTGCCGACATGGGAGAAATGAGCCTTTCTGATCATCCCTGCTGAGAAGGATAGCGGTGAGGAAAGTGCCAGTAAGCAAAATACCTGCAGTTTCCCCTAATGCCTTCTCCACACCCAGAAAATAAAATAAAATTAAATTAAAAAAAAAAAATCAAGCTTTCAGACTCTTCAAGATTCACATAGAGGAGACAAGACACAGGCCAGGTGCAAAGGAGTTACCTAAACATATAAACTGCATCGCTTTAACAAAAATTGCCTTGAAAAAAAGTTCCATTTAAACTTAGCACATTCCTGTGGGAAGATCTTTCTATTGAAAGAAAATGAGCAACATCAATTACAAGTAAAAAATGAGTTAGAAGAAACCACATTTCAACTGATAAAAGAGTTTCCTCGGGGCTGTGCCGGTCACAGGGGCAGAGGCGAAGCCAAAGCTGCACGCAGCTCAGCTGGGACAGGCACGTGCACAGCCTGGCTGGGCAGCAGCTCCAAGATGCCCATGGAAAGGTGCATTTCTCAGGAGGGACTCGGGCAAGAGGAAGCACTCTACACATGGCTGAAGGCAGCAAACCTCAGGCGACACAGAGCACGAGTGCAGCTGCTGCTCTGCTGCTGCCCAGGTCCCTGGGAGAAGCTGCAACACCCACCCATGGAGCAGCAGCTCTGCAGAGCTGGCTCCTCCAACCTCTAAGCTCTGCACAGGCACTTGATGGAGATGCTCACAACGTCAAGCAGACGGGACAAGGCGCAGGAGCAGTGTTTGTACAGCTGAGGAGCAAAAGAGGACACACATCAGAAGGCCTGTTCAAAGCCCCATGTAAAGTTTGCAGGAGGCCTGGTGGAGAACACAGCGTTTGAGCAGTCAGAGCACGACAGCGATCCAAGACGCGTTTCCTTCTGACCAGCACAGATGGATTTCTCACCTGCAAAATGCTGGACTGGAAAAAGGGCTCAAGCTGTAGAATAAGCCCCTTCCTTCTGTAGCTGAGGCCAGGCTCAGAGAAGCTGAGGATATTTCAGGATTCAGTGAAGCAGCCCCCGAGAAGCCCATGCCCACATCTGTGCCCTCCAGGGCTTCCACCATCAGCCTGCCCAGCTGCACTCTGCACAYGCCTCCTGTGCTGGGATTAGCGGGACACAAAACCAACAGGGTGCAGAGATCTGCACCCCACATCCCTGCTCTGCACCGCTGGGTTCAGAGCGGGACTCCATGACTATTTGCTGCCACAGGCTAAGAAACACTGCAGCCTTCCTGCTGCTCACAGCTGCCCTCCCAAGACCAGGTCCATGAATTCTTCCAGTTTCCACTCCTTCCCACCGACAGATGAGGCCATTCTGTGGTCTTCTTTATTTGGGACTCGGGCACTTGGACTAGCATGAGCTCCCTTCCCAGCCTGGCAGTTCCACGGCCGCTCAAGGAAGCCTCAGCTCACGTTTCCAAGGAGATGTAAACACTGAAATGGCTCCATCACAGCCCTGATTCTCCCAGCAAACAAATATTAACAAGATAAACAAAAGAAAGAAAAATCCCACACACCAAGACTGCGGCTGTAATCCTGCCTTGGGGATGGGGCGAGACGAAGGGAATGCCAGACTAGAGATGAACAACTTGGAAGGGGGAGGAAGAGGGAAAAACCAACTTCATCTGGCCAAGAGAAGCAAGAGGAAGCACCAGATCAAGTCTTGTTCYAGCTGACTCCGGGAGGAGGTGAGATGCCTCCACTCCCAACAAGAGACAACACAGGGGCTTTACAAAGGGGCCAGGCACTAAGGAAAATCACATACAGGTGGGTTTGCAGGACTCCCTCCATGCCGTCCGGCTGCACTGACAACTTGTCCATCCCATGCAGGGGCTGTACCCTGGGTGCGACCTCCTGACACTACCCAAATGGCAAAAACTGGCCTAGCTCAGAGGCAGGAGCAAAAGCCACCCYCAGTGCCATCCTCCACGCTGGGCAGAGGGCAGCCTGAGGGATGAGGCCCCTTTGCACARGAAGGCAATGCTCTCCTTGGCGCACAGCTTTGGGACACAGCCATCCTTCAGCTTTTACTGGCCTAATGGTGGCTGTACTCTACTATACAMACTAATTGCCCATTCATTTACAGGCCTTCATCAAGCCATTGAGGTGCCTCCTGTCCTTCCATCCCCGTCTCTCCCCACAGACCAAGTGACTATTCCCTCCTCGACATCAATTATCAGGAGTTCCTGAAATATCTGAAGCGTTGCCGGGGGCCTCAGGGCTCCCTACAGACAATGCTGCAGCTGGAGCAACGGGCTGCAGATTCCCTCTTTTCTTTGGCTCTCTGGAAAGGAGATGCAAAGACTCAAAAGCATCATTCCTGATGAGGCATCTCCAGCCTCACCATGAGGGACCTTCCTCCCTCTGATGCACATGAGGCCCCTCCATACAACTCATCACACAGGGCTTCACCAAGGAGAACATTCCCCACACAGGGCCTCAGGTCCAAAAGCCCCTCCAGACATAGCTGTTAGGCTGCATGCACCTCCTCTTCCAGAGATGTTGATTTTTCCCATATGAAGTAGTCAAATTTGTCCTAACAGAATCTCATAAGTTTCTGCTGCATCTAATCTCACTAGGTCTTCCCAAACTATTTATTTCTCCCTACTGATACTCATGGTAACTCCCTACGCTGCTTTATCTTTGAGTTTCATTAATCTACCATCTGCCTCCTCTCGTGGAGCCTTAAAGAAGCAGGGGAGGATGGAGACGCACAATGCAGAACGTTACTGCCACCCGACCCCTCTTCACAACCCGAGACACTGCTATTTATTGCTAAACGTTGTTTATAGTTACACAGACGCTCTCCCACCCACATAGCAGTATTTCATTCAAGACAAGTTTGAATTCTCTTCAAGAACAACATTTCAAAGGATCCCCAAAGCGTTTGTTTACAAACAGCCCGCACGGAGAATTCGCTTCAGCCGCCACTGAAACGCGGTCCCCYCGGGGGCAGCAAGAGGCAGCTGTTCCATAGCGCCCAGCGCCCCAACAGCTGAGGGACAGGAAACGAACAGCAGACAACTGATATCGCGGGGGGAAATTTATGGAAAACAAGGCCTGTGGAGCTCCCTTTGCCCGGAGAGCAGGGGAAAGCTTCAGAGCGCTCCAGCCCTTTGCTGGGTCGGCAGGAATTCAGGGAGGCACTGTGTCCCAGACTGCGGTCRAGGGAACAGCTCCTGGTTTCAAGGCCCATCCGAAGGCTGGAACCTCCAGAGCGGGTGGGAGCCCGGGTGCGGGGGGCTCAGCACCCCCTACGGAGGCAGCCACAGTCTCCCGTCCGGCTGCGAACAGGCCCGGCCCTGTTTAACTTCCAGCACGAGCCAAGCTCACAGCCTAGGGAGGTATTTGGCTGCAGTCGGAGGACACTAGGAAGGCTATAAAACTGCAGGCTTTCTGCAGGCCTGGCCTCCATACACAAGACCTACTGTAAACACTAAATCTTACGAGGGGAGAAAAAAAATCCAGAGGAAGAAGGATCATGCAACTCTTCCAAATACCAAAGCGCTGGGAATGGTGAGGGGTCACATGCTGTGGAAGCCAAGAGGAGCAACGTTCCCAGGACGGAGCTGGAGCTCCTGAAAGGAGCTGGARGAGAGTCAGATGTTGGAAGACGACCCTGGGCAAAACCGAGCCGGGACAAAGGGTCCCACAGTGAATTCAGTTTAGGTGGTGCTTGCTTCCCAGGACAGACACAGACTCTACATGGGTGGGAGACAGCAGAGGCTCCAAGAAGAATCAGTCCGTTTAATGCTCCGAACAAGGAGTGTAGAGCAGACCCTCACCACAAAGAGGTGATGAAAACAAGGGTGCTGACAGGGAACGGCCCCAGAGGACACAGGGTACGAGCCACAAATGCTCCYGTCTTGCAGAACTGCTCCCCTCTTCCACAACTGCTCCCCTCTTCCATACTGACCCAATCCCAGCGATCAAGCACAGGACATCCTACCCCATCCACATCCTCTCCTCAGAGGTGGAGACGGGGACTGACCACCTCAACCAGGACACGCAGGTTGTTTCCACCACCACCTCCAAGGTGGGAAGGAGCCACCCTCCCGGACAAGCTGCTGTCCTGCACACAGAGAGCAGGGGTAGAGGGTGACACCCTGATGGGGGCAGAGCACGATGCTGCTCCCCAGGTGCCCTCAGGTGGGGTATGTGGGCTCCCAGCCCCACAGAAGATCAAGCGTACAATACTGCTACCYGTGGTTAGGCAGTCAGAGGGGAGCTTCCCCCAGAGCATCCTCGGAGGGGGGATCTGTCCCCAGACGCAGACCAGCCCCGGGGGAGGAGTGTGAGGGGGAACCAGCAGCAGGGAGGAGACATGGGGGCGCACACATGGCAGGAGGAGCCAAGGAGCCCTCCTCGGCCACCAGCCCCCAGAGGGGCCAAGGAGCCCTCCTCGGCCACCAGCTCCCCAGGACAGAGCCACAATGGGGTGGCCGGGTGGGCACCGGGGCTCCCTGCTACACGGGGCCCACGGGGGCGGCTGGTCACACAGACGGTGCACGGGGGCACCAGTGCCCATGGATGGGCACATGGAGGGGCGGCCTCTCCTTCCCGGGCACGTGGAGGAGCCGACTAACCCACCGCCCGGGCGGGGGGCTGCCACACACAGGGCCCTGGGGGCCTCTGCTTTGCCAGGGGACACCGGGGGACCCCGCAGCCCCCATCTCTCACAGGGACACCGGCTGCCCCAGCGCCGTGTCCCTGAGGGCCCAGCAGGCAGAGGACATGGTGGGGTCCCGCAGCCGGGTCCCCGAGAGCCCCCATCTCCCACGGGGACACCGGCAGCCCCAGCGCTGTGTCCCTGGGGGCCCGGCAGGCCCCGCAGCCGGCTCCCCGGCAGCCCCGGGCGGCCCCGCCGCGCACGGAGGCCCCGGGCGGCCCCGCGGCCCGGCCGTGCTCACCCGAAGTCGTCGTCCATGGACTTGAAGTAGAACTTGTAGTTGGGCCGGTTGAGGAGGCCCTTGAAGTCGCCGAGCGTGACGCGCTCGGCGGGGATGGGCAGCTTCACCAGGTACGGCGTCTCCTGCTCGTCCAGGTGGTAGATGATCTTGGTCTCGGCGGCCGCCATGGCGCCCCTGCCCGGCCGCCAGGCCTCCTCCTCCTCCTCCGCCGGCCGCCGCCTCCTCC